GACGCCGCGGCAGCGGCTATCCAGCCGTGCGCTGCCGTCCAAAGCGCAGGGGGACAACCGGGTGCTAGCGCGGGGTGCAAACGTGAGGGGTGTGGCCCCGCGTCTATCTGTGCTGGAGGTTCTTCATATCGTGGACGGAAGGCTGTGCCGGCGCTGGCAGTCGGCGGCCGGGCGAGTAATTCCCCTGCCCCCCGCGACCTAGCGCGCGGACTTAAGCGCCCCGATTGTCCAATCTGCCAAAGAGCCCCTAGACTCAGGCAGCGCCGCATGTAACATTCGCTTCGCAACGTGTGTAGACACCACAATACATCGTAGTATGCTTTATCTTATTATAAGAGGTATTTGTCAGATTAAAATTCTAGACGCTTCGCGTATCCCCACCAGCCCGTCCAGAAATGAGTCCCAGGGGAGTGGAGGTTATGAGGAAAGCGGGAGAGCATGCAGAATAACAAAGGGCGGGGTGAGCCGCCATATGCCCCAAGAGGGGGAGGATGTAGGAGGAGCCGTCGTCGTCGGAGTAGGAGGAGGAAGAGGAGGAGCAGGAGGAGGAGCAGGAGGAGGAGGAGGAGGAATAGAAGGAGGAGGAGATGGAGGACTGCGAGGACGAGGAGGACGAGAAGGAGGAAAAGGAAAAGGAGGAGGAGGAGGAGGAGGAGGAGGAGGAGGGGGAGGGGGAGGAGGGAGGAGGAAGAAAAAGAGGAGGAGGAGGAGGAGGAGGACAATTGCGAGCTTGGGGGCCTCTTGGGCCGTCCTTGGGGCCTCTTGGCGGTCCCGGGGGCCTCTTGCGTATCTCGGGGAGCCTCTTGTGGCCTCTTGGGGGTCTCTTGGGGGCCTCTTGGAGGCCTCTTGGGGGCCTCTTGGGGCCTCTTGGGGCCCTCTTGGGGCGCTCTTGGGGCGCTCTTGGAGCCTTCGAGGCGCTCTTGGGGCCATCTTGGAGGAGATCTATCAAAGAAGGGGGGGTCCCCAATTAGCGCTGCCCCTCTAGAGTGCCTCGAGTCGCCTCTTGGGCCCCCCCCAAGAGGCCAAAATCCTTCCAAAACCTAGGTAAAATCAATGTTTTTTGTTTTCTCGCCTTTTCGCTCTTGGACCCGTCTTGGGAGCCTCTTGGGCCTCTTGGGGGTCTCTTGGGAGCCTTTTGGAGGCCTCTTGGGCGCCTCTTGGGGCCTCTTGGGGCGCTCTCGGGGCGCTCTTGGGGCGCTCTTGGGAGCCTTCGGGGCGCTCTTGGGGCCATCTTGTAGGAGATCTATCAAAGAAGGGGGGTTCCCCAATTAGCGCTGCCCCTCTAGAGTGCCTCAAGTCGCCTCTTGGGCGCCCCAAGAGGCCAAAATCCTTCCAAAACCTAGGTGAAATCAATGTTTGTTGCTTTCTTGCCTTTTCGCTCTTGGAGCCGTCTTGGGCCATCTTGGACTCTCTTGGGGCCTCTTGGGGGTCTCTTGGCAACGTCTTGGAGGCTTCTTGGGGGCCTCTTGGGGTCTCTTGGGGCCCTCTTGAGGCGCTCTTGGGGCGCTCTTGGGAGCCTTCGGGGCGCTCTTTGGGCCATCTTGGAGGAGATCTATCAAAGAAGGGGGGGTTGCTTATTAGCCCCGCCCCTCCAGAGTGCCTCGAGTCGCCTCTTGGGCCCCCCCAAGATGCCAAAATCCTTCCAAAACCTAGGTAAAATCAATGTTTTGTGTTTTCTCGCCTGTTCGCTCTTGGAGCTGTCTTGGGCCATCTTGGACGCTCTGACACCTCGCGACCGGCCCCGTCCAGGTCAGTGGGGAGGGGTAAGGGGAGGGGTAAACCCCTCCCCGAAGGGGAAGAAGGGGGTTGGCAGAGGAAACTCCCTAGACCACCTACGCCCTAAAGGGCTGGTGGGATTTTCATACATCAATATTTTAAATATTGCTGCAGTACGCTACCATACATACTGTGATATCGTATAACATAATACATTGCATGTTGTTAAGTGAGATGAGTCTTTTCTATGTTAGTCTAGTTCTATATATATATACCGTAGTCTTTTTCGGCATTCGGTTATAGCATCTCATAGTGGAGTGTTTTGTAGTTTGTTTGGTAACACGCAGTACTAACATATGTTGTGTTGTCTTGCATATTTCATCTATTATTTCTGATGTCGTGTACCCTGCTATTCTAGCAGACTAGCATACTAAGGCATATTGTAACTTGGCTTACTACACCATGAACTATTGCATTACGTTGTAAAACGTTATATGGTCATAGTATGTACAATTATACATGATATTTTGGTATCATGTTTTGTAATGGTTTTTGTTGTGTTGTGTTCGATCGTATCATCACCCGCTTTTTATTGTATGATCGTAGTTTGTATGTTTATACGTTCTGCTATATAACATTGCATCCGCTTATAGCATATCATGATATATGAGTATCATAATATCATATGTTTGATTCCGTTACATCACATTGTATCGTCATGGTATGCTTCATATCGAAGTATGACATTTTCATACATGTGCATTAGGTCGTCGGGGCCTGCGCGGGAGACGAGGGCCCGGAAAAGAGCGGGGGCATACCGTCGGCGGGCCGCATCATCCTAGAAACTAGGGACAGTTGCGCACGTCATGGAAGCGTTGTTTGTCTTGCCGTGTGCGACAAGGGGTTTCGACACAACGAGTTCGTTTGCTGTGGGTGACAGTACTGACGACGGCGCCGCGTGGCTTCCAACAGTTGAATACGAAATGGCGTACGCTTTTTAGAATGTGACAATTCGGGGGGACCGACAAGGCGCGCAAACACATGCAACAACGCCGCGACCACGACATTTCACCTGCCGCAAAGCAGCAAGGTTGCAGAGCGGGTTGTGCGACGCGTGATTGAAGGCACCAGAGCCATATTGACGCACAGTCGGGTTGGACATGCTTGGTGGTGCGGGGCTTGCTCTTTCGTGGCCGATTCCATGACCTTCTTTGCGCCCGCAGAAGGGTAACCTTCTGCTTTCGGGAAGGAAAAGGATGATCTGTTCAATGGCCAGGTGCTTCCTTCCGGGTGTAGCGCGCACTACAGGTCACTCAGCGCTGCGAGCGCCTCCGACAGCGAGAATTTTGGTGACAAGTCGAGACATGGACTCTTTGTGGAGTGGCTAGCATGTCAGCAGCGTGCGCTGACGGTCTCAGGATTACTACGTTCTGGACGCCGTGTCCTACATGCACAGTGGCGACGGCAATCGCTGCCCCTGCTTCGAGCGTGAAGTCGTGCCAGATACTCAGTTCGATGGCTGGGAGCACATGGGAAGCTCGATGATGACTTCCATGATGCGCAACATATGCGTGTCAAACGCGGGGTAGGTCTGCATTTTGGTGCGGACCTCGCTGCAATGCCACCGGCGGCAATCCCTGAATTGACGGTTTTCCTGTGGATTACAAGCAAGTTGCTGAAAACCTATCGATGGCGGCGAACTCGCAGCTCAAGCTGCGTTGGAATTGAACGAAGACGTTTCCAGATCTTCTTGGAGGGGAAGGAAACATCTTTGGTACTGCCGTGTGGATTTTCGGACTTGGAAACCACATCCCCTTCAACACCACCTTGCCCCACTGGAGGAGTAGACTTCCGATCGGGTTAGATTCACTGCTGTTGAGGATGAACGCCTCAAGTCCACTGAGACCTGCAAACTGAACTCGCGCTTGAAAAACGTGAAGCTGGATCCTTCGAGAAATTCGCCCTGCGTCCCATCGAGTACCAAGCCTTGCGCATGCTTTCGTGGATGTGCTGGCGTTGCTGGGAGCTAGTGCCGTTGCCGTGAAACTGACCCCGCATGTAAGTAGCGTTAGCAGTAATCCGTTCAGGAACATGAGATCCAGGATGTGAAAGCTGCCGGGGTTTCTGTTTTTTTCGTGCGCCATTGCTTCTTGGGAAGGTGACCTGCTCACCTGCATTTAAGGCTCCCCCAACCTGCTGAAGATGCTCAGTGAAACTAGTCGTGGCCCCAACGACCTTGCCAACAAGCTGAGCTGCTGTCTGATGCGCTGTGCCATCCAGAAACACTGTCGTGGCAAGTGATCGTTTTCTTATTCATTGTTTGCCAATCGGTGCGGGCTTTCGCACCCCCTCCCCCCCCATGAAGTAGATCTTGGCTGTTTTTGGCGCCTGTTTTGAGCAGGTGGAATCTCCCCATCGGACGCACTGCTGCAAACAGTTACACTAAACAGAGGTCTGGAGCCATGTTCCCCCCTTCCCCCCCTTTCGCCCAATGTCGAAACGCCGAAAACGAAAACGTTCACCACTGTTGATGCTGGGGATTTCAGTCATGCTGATGTGGCTCGAGCACATTCGGTCCTGGCCGCCTTCGCATGCACTACGCTCGGCCATCCACGGCCGCAAAGCAGCACGATCAAACCCACGAACGTATTTTACATGAGTGGACTGCCGCCCTCGGAGGAGACCCTCCCTGCCTAACACGGACATGCATTGTGCCATCAGAGCAGTCGAGGGTGATGATGCTCCTGGTGTTGCAGTGCCGGAAGAACTAGAGCTCGTCAGGATTCATGTGCATCATGGTCGCCCCATCAAACAACTTCAGCGACCAAACTGCCGAACGCATTCGCCTGGCCGCGAGAAATGGTACAAAGTGATTTCCTCAGCCGTGGAAGCCGCCACAGTGCAATGACTTCAGGAGGACGAGGAGGAGGCGTAGGAGGATGAGCAGGAGGAGGAGGAGGAGGAGGAGCAGGCGGAGGAGGAGGAGGAGGAGGAGGAGGAGGAGAAGGAGAAGGAGGAGCAGGCAGAGGAGGAGGAGGAGGAGGAGGAGAAGGAGGAGGAGGGAGGAGAGGAGGAGGAGGAGGAGGGAGGAGGAGGAGGAGGAGGAGGAGGAGTAGGAGTAGGAGTAGGAGGAGGAGGAGGAGGAGGAGGAGGAGGAGGAGGAGGAGGAGGGGGAAACGCAGGCTATCCCCCCGTCCGGGGCGCTCTGCATCGCCCCTGGCCCCCCTGGCCCAGGCCGTCCCGCCTGCCTGGCCGCCGCTGCGGATCTCCGAACGCTGGCCGAG